GTGGGGCCCCATGAGACATTCTCCTTCTCCTTGACCACCTCTCATGGCTATCTCCCACTCAGACTCTTTGCCAGGGTGTCCCAACACTCCCTGAGTCATGAATGTTCCTTGTTTTCAGGCCTCCACAGTATCAGTCTCAAGTGAAAGGTCCTCCCTCAAGATGTCACTTTGCTGTTGCTCTCCAAGATAAGGGGGAGGAACTGAATGTTTCTTCCTCACCAAGGCTAGCCTTCCACATGAGAGCAGTCACTGTCTCCCGAATCCTTGCATTGGGATTAGGCTTATGGAATGTGTGACCTTATCTTGCAGCTAGAATTGGCTGTCTGTCCTCATGGCCACTTATTTTATCTTATAATAGAGCTTTCAGCTTTTCCTCCCCTTTCTGGGAATCTCACAACAGACTTGGAACTCTTCCCTGCAGTTTTTCTATTGGCTCGGCTTCTCTGTGGTTTTCTGCCTTCCTGATAACACTTTCATGGCTCCCCAATGATCTTCCTCTCTTTTTTTTTTTATCCAGAATTTAGTTTCTCCTGTGTACCAGACTCTTCTCATTCATGGAATCAAAATGGTGAACACTTCTAAACCACTAGCTTGACTGTCCCCAGCTGTCACATTTTCTTTTCTTACTTGCCCCACTGGCAAGATAAATGCCTTATGGGTGACTAAATAGTCTCCAGCAATTCAATGTCTTTCTAAAATGCTCCTTGTGTACCTTACCATTGCTCCTAATGTAAAATGTGACTCTTTAACTGAAGAAGAATATTTCAGATAAGAGTCTAATATCTTTTCATATTTGATACAGTCCTTTTCAACTAGATATAATGAATTCCCTAAGAATAGTGATTGTGCACTTTCTGTGTTCTATCTTTGTGTTCTATCACGGTATCAGAAACAATCATTAAATGTAATGAGTAAATTAATGAATTGAAGGGGAAGATAGCTTTGATACAGGGTTGTAAAACATGATAAGCTGTCAATTAAAAGCATGAGGAATTGCCCATTAAAGCCATGCAAAAAGTTCAGGGTCCAGGTAAAGGGCACTATATAGAAATAAACACTCATTCCTGCCTTCCTTCGTCTCCACTTGTAAATAAACTTTCCACAGCAGAACTCCCCTGCTGTTCTAATGTAAACAACCTTAGATCTCTAACTCACTACTAGCCCATAATTGATGGGTGAGCACATTCCTTGTAACTTGATGCCCTGCACTGCCTTTTAAATATCCTGTGAATCCTTTGTTCAGTGCTCAGACACTTCTGAGCCCGCTGGCTTAAAATAAAATCTGAGTTCTCCACTCCTCTGAGCGTTGCTTGGCTTCTCATCTGTCAAAATATTCCCCCAACAGAATAACTGTTAGGAATTAGATTATTTACTCACAAACAAAGATGACCAGAATGGGAATCCTGTTATTGCTACAAGAGGAATATAGGTTTTTCCAAATAAAGTGATTTGTGAGATGAGCAAACGTATCCATATTATTCCCAGGGCATGAACTATCAGACCAGTCATTATCTGTATGGCCTGGAAGGAAAAAAAAAACATTATCCTTAGTCGTTTAAGGTTATAGTCCAACTTTTGAAAGGAATACACACCAAGAAAATGGCAAAGTGAAGGAGAAAGGTGATGACCTAATGTCATGATTGTATCTTATATAACTACTGTCCCACATCTAAGCTAAGTTGATTTTGATGTAATGTTGAATATATAGTTGTGTGCTATTTTATCACACGTATATTCGTATATGCCACCATAACCAAGATAAACAACTACTCTAAGACTCACCACAAAGATATCTTTCATGCTACAGCTTTCTCGTCATTCCTCCCCTAATATCCTGAACTCTTGTTAGTCACTAATCTATTTTTTATACTTCTATAATTTTGAGAATGTTAGATAAGTGAAATAATCCAGTATGTACCTTTTGAAATTGACTTTTGTCATTCAGAATAATACTCTTGAGATCTGTCAAGTTGTTGTTTGTATCTATGTAATTTATTTCTTTTTTGTAGTAGTATTCCATGGTATAAATGACTATTGTTTGTTCAACTCTTCACCTAGTGAGTGGTGTTTTGATAGTTCCCAGGTTGGGAGCTATTACAAGATGGGAGACTTAAGTTAAAGTTCTTTTTTTAAACCAATGGCTAACAACAGTTGTTGAGGAAACTATACTTCTTCTTTTGAATTAATTTTATAAAAAATTAGTTGGCTTTACTTGTGTAGCCTATTTCTGTATTGTGTGTTCTGTTCCATTGACCTGTATTTCTCTTGCTAAAACAATACCAGAAAGTCTGGATTACTGTAACTATATAGTGTTTTAAAATCAAGTAGTGCAATTCCTCCCACATTACTCTGGTTTTTTTTTAAATGAGCTGTTTTAGTTCATTTCTTTTCCATATGAATTTTAGAAAATCATATCTATACCTATGAAAGAAGTTGCTGGGATTTTGATTGGAATTGCACCAAATAAACATGTTAATTTTGGAGAGAGGGAGAATTAACGTATTTATTGAATTTTGCAATCGACAATCATGTCTTTTCATTTGTGTAATCTAATTTGAATTCTTTCATCAATATTTAGTAGTTTTCAAAATACAAGTCCTATACATACTTTGTTAGATTTATGCCTAAGTATTTCATAATTTCATATTGTGAGTGTTGTAAATAGTATTGCATTTGAATGTTTTGTTTCTATATGCTCATTACCGTTGTACAAAAGTACAATTCATCTTGTATTCTGTGATCTTGCTCAGCTCACTAGTCCTAAGTATCCCCTTTCCCCCCTTTTTTGGGGGAGGACAATTTTCCTAAACTAATCATTATTGTCCTGCTTGTTTGACTCCTAATCTGGCTCTATCGTTCAACATATGAGTGGATCATGCAACAGTATAGGTGGATAATGAAAAATCATCTAGCTGTAAGAGAGGATACCTGCTCTAGTTGGTGGGTTGCCGGGAAAGCACTGGCAAGTCAAGGATGATGGTCGGAAGCACACTGCTACTGTGGCCGTTGTCCGCAGAACTCTACGGTCTGCAGCTCCTTTGGAATTTGTCAGATTCCACAATTTGACAATCTCACTTACCATGTCATAATTTGTAGATGGCAAAAAGAAATTTACGTACTTCCAGACTCAGAGACACTTTCTGAAATTATGAGTAGGTTGACTTAAATGTAGAGCTGATAGATTCATTCATAATTTCTGCTTTATTTACTTTTCTTATTCAGCTTATGTGTTTGGTTACTTGTGGAAAACACAGATGCTACATAACCACTGTAGGACATTTTAACTTTCCTACATTTGGGAGTTCGTAGTAGAGGTGGTTAATTTTTCCTCCCTTGTACATTTAGAAATCCCAACACTATAGTCTAACAGCATTTAGTTCTTACCCCCAACATTCTCATTTCCTCTCTTATCCATGGTTGATTTTCTGACATTTTTTCACTAAGATACAACAAAGAAATGACAGGATAAATGTTTTTCTTTTCTGTAGGGAAATATGGAGACAAATTAACATTAATTATTTTCTTGGGCAAGATATCTAATCTTGAGATGGAATCTAATTCTACAGCTACTCATTTTTCACTACATTGTAGTCCCCAAGAGATATTTTTGCATCAAACCACCAATATTATTATCTCAACAAAACCCAATATTTGTCTCTCAAAGTTCTGTTCATTTACTAACCTTAAATGCAAGTAAGTAAACACTAAATGGTGGCTGTCCCAATCATATCAATCCCTCTAGACGTAACTGACACCAACACATTACAGAATCAGAAAACTTGGATTTTTGGTTTCTGTGGTTTATTTTATTACTCATTGTTCCCTTCCAAATTAAAATCTAACTCTAATTGAAATAATCCATGTTATATGCCTATACCAGCTACAAAGGAACCTGAAAAATAAAGTGCTATATATTATACTTTGCAAAGTTTGTCCTCACAAGTTAGGGACCAAGAAAAACACAGAGAGGGTGTTTAATAAGAAAATTTCAATTTACAGATTATGATCACTAAGTTGTGGATAACCTTGGTTATTCTACACAACTCATATTAATCCTTTTAGCTTCTGTGTGTACCACCCATGAAAATTATTCCTCAACCCTAGCTGATTAGAACAAAGGCATACATCTACCTTAAGCTGGGCCCAGGACATACTCTTCCCAAATTGTTTGTGCTGCTTTGTTGTTGAGAAGATATAAAAACTAGGCAAGTGGTATCGCCATATTCTTTCCTAATGTACAGAGTTGTAGAGAAAGAAAGTTTTGGGAGAAGAATAGAGAAGGCACTCAGATAAAAGCAGAGATGAAGAAGGAGCAGAACTCCCCACCTTTCTGATGGCTTTCAACTTTCTAGTTTCATTGTTTTTTGCAAACCTGGCGACTTCTTGCCCTTACATTATGCAAATATACCTGTTTATATATTATAATAATTTTGCGACAAGTAGTAATAAATAATTTCTGTTTCTTGAAGCCTAAAAGTTCATTGTTGTTTTTTAAGTGGCCTTCTCTTCTACTTATTCTCACATGGCTTTGACAATCTAGTTTCCCCAGTCTTCAATGTCTGATGGATCATCTTTCTTTTTTCTTTCAACCCCTGCTTATAGTCATATCTAAAGCCCAAGATAATGTCTTCAAACTTGTCATTTACAAACTTTCCCTTTTACTTGTATCAATTGTGAACTGGTAAGGTTAAAGTTGCCATGGAGATTGACTCATTGACACTTGAAAATAAAATATAGACAAACATAGTGTGAAGAATTGAGTAAGTTCAGATCTTACCAATTACTATGTGACCTTGTCCATATAATTTACTTTTTCAAAGGCTCTTTTTTTTCAGCAGCAAGGAAAAAAACAAAACAAAAAAAACCTCTGTCGGGTTGTACTGTGGAGCAAAAAAAAAAAAAAAAAAAAGAGAGAGAGAGAGAGAAAAACTGGTACAAAATTGAAACTTAAGAGGAACTAGTTCTACTGGCCGTGGATCCGCAGACTGACTTGATCACGGTCAGGAGGGTGTGATCTTGTTGGTGTTGCCTTTGGTTACAGATCTTCCAGGTCTGGGGTTTCTGGAGGCAGCATCTGCCCAGGGGGTGCCCGGCCTTCGTGTGGCGCTCATTGCCTCTCGCGCTGTCCCAACGCCACAGTTATGGCCAAGAGCGCTGCTGCAGGGCGCTGCGCGAGGAGAGCGCGTGAAGACCAGGGGCAGCGTGGCTTGGAAACTCTGCCCAGAAAAATAATGTAAAATGATGGTAAAATCTTCAAGATGGTCAATTAGGATGAGTACTGTGCATTGGCCATTGGATTTTTGCAAAATAGAGGTTACTATTGTCATTGCATGGTCGTTTCTGAGGAGAAATTGAAGCCACACCTTAACGAGCGGATTCAAGGGAAAACAGAAGGAGATAATATGGACATAATACATACAGACCTATTGAGTTTTGTTTTTAAGGAAAAGAAAGAAGTATAGTCATACACAGAAGGAGAAGTAGAGCCAAGAGGTTTTTGGTTTGTTTTTGTTTTCTACAGGAAAAATCATGACGTGTTTCTATGCTGGTGGAAACAATCCAGAAGAGAGGAAAAACTGAAGTCCTTGGCTGGGATGAGGAGAAGGAAGATTTCTGACTGTGTCTCTTGGGATCTGTCTTCTCTTGTGCACAGACCCTCTGTGTGCTCGACGTTTTTATAGGAAGCTTGACCTTCTTGGAGGCCACCCAGCTTTCCTCTGGGAAGGAAAATCTTGCTCACTCTGCACACAAGAACTACTATTTGGGAGACTGGAGGATACATTTTCCATGTCCTCAACTACCAGGCCCACACTATCCAAGAGCGCTATTGAGGATTTGAAATGCATTTAGTGTGAATTGACTTGAGTTTTAAGTGTAAAATGCACACCAAGTTTAGAAGACTTGATATGATAAAGCTATCTCATTAAAATTAAAATATTTCATGTTGATTGTTTAGGTGACATGCTTGGGCTTAATTTTTTGACTTATTAGGTTAAACTATATTATTAAAATTACATTAATCTGTTGTATTTACTTAGTGTGGCTACGAGAAAAATTTTAAGTTACACACATGGCTTGTATTAGTCCTATGGGATAGTGTTCTTCTATACCTTTCACTGTCTCAAAAACCTCTTCCCTCTTTCAATTCTTCTCATCTTTTTAAAAATGCTTTTTATCTACATTTACATAAAATACTAAAAATTAAACAAGGCCCAAAAGGCACTGAGTTGGTGCTTCTTACCTTTCAAAGTTCATCCTTAATTACTTGCCTTTTTAATCAATGAGTTCTAGCCATACTATCTTCTCAAATCAGTCATGCTCTCTCTCACCCCAGGATTTTATTCTTCGTATTTCTTCTGCTTGGAGCACTTATTTTCTGACTTTAAAAATGGCTAGCTCCACTTTTACCTTCTGGTCTCAACCTAAATGTCACCTTCTCAGGAATGTATTTGCTTTCTGAAACAGTGCCAATTATCCACTCCTCACTTCATTCTCCCAGTTCCATATATCCAAATGTTTTCCTGTTAAGTCATTAAAAACACTTTTATCTCTCCTTCTATCTTCATTAGAATAGAAGTTTTGCTTTTCTTGTTTATACCCAAGGTCTGACACAAGAGTAGATGCCTAAGTATCTGTTGAATGAATACAAGCAATAAAGATTGAGTATATGCGATTATATAGGAATATTTAATTTTTTAATCAAAATAGTACAAATGAGGTTGGATAGTATTAGGAAGTATGTTTCAAAGTGTTATTATAAGTTCCATTTGTGTATAATGAATATATCTTAATAAAAATTCATAAAAAATAATTCTCATTCTTATAATCTAGTTGCTATAATACCAACTACTATCTGCTACATTTGTTGTGAAGGAAATCCAAATGTCTGATTTGGTAATTGAGTGCTTATTGACTTTTATGCTTAGAATCTAGAGCTTACTTTTCCACACAGTTTGAACTATTTGTTTTAAATTTCCTGTCCTTTATCAATCATTTATACTTTAACACAAATGAATTTCAAAGTTGAAGCTGACATTAACTTATTCTTGAGCCAACCTGGTATTAGAAAATCCCAGTACCCCAAAGCAAGTCCTGTTACCACCTGCTTCTCCATTGTCTCCCCAAGTCCTATCCTCAGGGCTTTCCCCTCTCCAGATCCTTCTTTAGTTCCAATGTTCCTAGGTACTAGATTCTGTTTCCATAATTCCTGACTCCCCTTATCCTTTCAGGGCAGGGAGTTGTTTTGTTGTTTTTGTTGGTATGTTGAAATGCAGTTATTTTTGTTCGACATATTCCCAGCAATGTTGCTAAGACTGTTACTTCTAATTAAATAATCTGTAGATTCTTTTTAAAATTTTCTACTTACAGTAGCATGTTGTCTGTAAATGATGACAATTTCTATCTTCTTTTTCTATTGCAATACATTTTCTTTTCTTGTCTTGTTACACCTTTAGGACCTTGATATAATATTAAGTCAAAGTGGACTGTTTTACTAAGTCTGATCTCAACAGGCAGGCCTTCATCAATTAATTTCACCTATTATAGGATTTCTGCAGGTCACCAGCAGGGTTTCTTTTCTTTACTTTGTGGCAGAACTGGGGGTTGAACTCAGGGCCTTGCACTTGTTAGGCTGGTGTTCTACCACTTTAGCTACATTTCCAGCCCAAGAATTTTCTTTTCTATGTTTACATTTTCAATTTTACCATGACATAGATGGTGAAGTTTTTCAAACAGTTCTCTGAAAGAATTAAGATAACTATTGTCTAGTTTGCCAATATGGTGAATTACATTGACTGCTTTTCAAAATACTTTTATTGGTGTAAGAAACACCTATAGCGCACAAATCTTACATAGGCCAAGCTGTATTTAAATTTTTATTTGGCAATACTGAGATTTAAACTTAGGGTCTTGTTCTTGATAGGTAGGCACTCTATCACTTGAGCCAGACCTCTAGTTCCCCCATTTTTGTGGAACTGGAGTTTGAACTCAAGGCTTTGTGCTTGCTAGGCAGGTACTCTACTGATTGAGGCATGCCTCCAGCTCTTTTACTCTGGTTAATTTGGAGATAGGATCTCATTTTTTGTTCAGGCTGGTCTGGACTGCAAACCACCTATGGATGGATGGGATCTTGGGAACATTTTTGTCTGAGTTGGTCTCCAGCCACAATCCTTCAAATTTCAGCTTCCTGAGTAGATAGAATTGCAGGTGTAAGCCACCAGCACATGGCCCCAGCTTTATCTTGCTTTTAGTTATTTTTCAGATAGGGTCTTGTGTTTTTGCTCTGGGTTGGCCTTGGATTGTGATTCTCCTACATAAGGCTTCCTATGTAGTGGGAATAACAGGTGTGTGCCAACAGGTCTAGTTTATTGGTTGAGGTGGAATCTCCTTAACTTTTTGCCCCAGCAGGCCTAGAACCACAATCCTCCCAAACTCTGCCTCCTGAATAACTAGGGCTATAGGTGTAAGATGCTTTGCCTGCCTCTCATATGTTTTTATGCCATTAATTAGCATCCTCTTCTTTCAGTTTAAAGAATGTCCTTTCCTGTTTTCTGGCTTATTACTTTTCTGTTGAGAAGTGTGGTATTAGTCTTATTTTAGCTTCTTACCTTTTATTTGGTGGACCAGAGTTTGAACTTGGCCTTGCACATGCAAAGTAGGTGCTCTACTGCGTGAGTCACCTGCAGTCCTTGAATTTGCTTTTATATGATATGCTTTTTTCTCTTGCTTTCAAGCTTCTTCCTTTGTCTTTGATTTTTGACAATTTGACTATAATATGTCTTGTAGTCTTCTTTGAATTGAATCTAATTTGGATCAGTGACCTTCTTACACCTGGATGTTTCTTTCCTCAGATTTTGAAAATTTTTTACTATTATTTCTTTAAATAATCTTTCTGTCTTTTGGCCTGTCTTCATTTTTCTAACAGAACATTTTTTTTCTCTTGATGCTGTCTCATAAATTCTATGACAAATCATTTCATTTTTTTCCTTTTTTTCTCCTCTGACCATGTTTTCAAATAACCTGTTTTCAATTTCTCAGATTTTTCTTTTGCTTTATCAATTCTGTCACTGATGCTTTCTGTTGGGGACCAGGCATGACCCTGGACTGGGAATAATGGAGTTTGCACAGCCTCTCCATGTAGGAGTTTGCACAGCCTCTCCATGTAGGAGTTTGCACAGCCTCTCCATGTAGAAGTTTGCACAGCCTCTTCTACCATAATTTCCCTAGTACCTGGTATCTTGACCTTTGTACTCACATCTCCTTGAAGAATACAACCTGCTGTGTCTGCATACCAGCCCCTGATGCAAAACTAGATGAAGTACCAGAACTGTTAGTAAACTCCCTGATGGTGGATTAATCAATACCTTAGATAAGGTGTCCTGTGAACCTTGATGATTCCAGAACTGATGTGTTGTAATTAAGCTTCATTAGCCTTAGGAAAATTAGCCCACCAAACCTCATTCCTTTCACCTTGCATCAAGAATTGTTAAAGCTTGATTTTTACCTGAGTCTTTTCCTTGTACTGACGTAATAAAATAAACACTCTGGCTCAGGTAGGTGCTCACATTTCCCATCAGGAACATTCAGCCCTCCTAATACCAGCGTTCTGTTTTATGTTGTATGTCTGTATGTTTGTGTGTGTTTTATTTCTCGTTCCCCCGTTGCTCTTAGTCAGGCTCATGCAGCATACCCATGCAGGTTGGGCAGTTGTCTATTTCATTATAATCTGTTATATTATTTAGCTCCAAATTAAAACAATATTTTGATTTTATGAGATTTTATTGATCTTTTTGTGATCATATGTTTCCTTCATTTTTTATGTTTCTTGTTGTGGAATAATCATCACTTCCAGACTTTATGGGCTAGTTTTAATATTTTTTCTTCTGTAATGTAAATATATCATTGCACCCTCTCCTGGCCTATAAGGGTTCTCCTGAGAATTTTGCTGACAGGTGTATTAGAATTCCCATATATATTATTTTAAATTAATTTCTTGCTTTTAGGATCCTCTGCTTCTTTTGAACTTTTGACAGCTTGATTATATCATAAGTCAATTATATTCGAGTTTAATCTGACTGGAGACCTTTGGCCTTCTTGTGTTTGAATATTGATATTTTTTCCCCAGGCTTAAAGAATTTATTATTTCTTTAAGAAGTATGCTATTTCTTTTTCTTTTCTCTTTTGAAATCCAGTGGTTAACCGAAAGATTATCTATTTT